GGATTAAGATCCCCTTACTGGTCATCTTTTTAAAAATAAAATTAAATAAATAAATAAAAATTAAAATTAAATATAAAATATAATAAAATAAATAAAATAAAGAGGCTAAGAGAGAAGGGTAAAATCAGTCCCTTAAAACCCAGAGATAAGATTGTGAAACTTCTCTTTGGATCCTGTCTGGAGTGACAGCTGAAAAAGAATTATATTAATTACTATTTGAGCATTACAGACTTGCTTATTCTCTGTCTACTCTACTGAAATGCAAGCTCCATGGGAACAGGGATCTTTTGTTTCCTGTGTCTGTAATGCCTAGATCAGTGCTGGGGACATAGTGCTTAAGAAATGTTTGTTGAATGAATGACTACATGAATGAAAGGGGAGAGAAGGTGAATGCAGGTAGGCACTGAGAATGAAGGAGCCTTGTGTGGAGCAAGAATGTTAGTTTGCCATGAATTAGGGGAGCAGGATTAACTCATCTCTTATCTGAAATTCAAATTAGACAAGGAGAAGATTTTGGTAGGTTGACTGGATAAAAAATATTTATTTAAAACTTACTAACACAGTGAGTTACGAGAACCCACACTGGACTCATCATTGAGGCATTTCAGATCATTTGAGATAAAGAAAAGACCTGTGCTAAAGAAAGTACTACCAAAAAGAGAGAGAGAGAGAGAGAGAGAAGACTCAGAAAGCTTCCAGTGAGATAATACAAGTGATATATGAAGGACTAGGAACCAGAAGAGTGTCCAATTTCTCCGTTGTAATACCAGAAACAAGGTGACAATGAAGGAGTATCTTCAAATTCTGAATAAACAATTTCTTTCTTTTTTTTTTTTTTTTTAAAAAAGATGACCAGTAAGGGGATCTTAACCCTTGGCTTGGTGTTGTCAGCACCACGCTCAGCCAGTGAGCGAACCGGCCATCCCTATATGGGATCCGAACCCGGAGCCTTGGTGTTATCAGCACCGCACTCTCCCGAGTGAGCCACGGGCCAGCCCCTGAATAAACAATTTCTAATCTTGGGTTTTTTGCCCAGCCAACCAGTTAAATGTGAAGGTGGGATAAAGACATTTTCAGATACAGGGTTTCAAAAAATTTCCTGTGGTGTATTATGTCTCAGAAGCTAGTAAAGGATGTTCTCCATTGTACAGAGGCAGTAAACTAATAAAGAGGGAGATAGAGATCTGACCTAGGAGTGAGGCAAAGGGAGTGTCCCAGGACAATGTCAAATCAAAAGACAGCTGTGCACCAAGCCTAGAGAAAAGCAGTCCAGCTTGAACTACGGGACAGAAGGGTCCAGGAAGGAAGTTTCCAAAAATCAAAGTGGATTCTGACATCTTTGGCTCCTTATTCATCTAATGAACTTTTCATGACATCTGAACATTTGGGGGGTGAATTAGTGATACACTGAAATCTAAGTGAGCTACAAGTTGAGCATCCCAATTCCAAAAATCAAAAATCTGAAATGCTCCAAAACCCAAAATTGTTTGAGTGGTGACATGATGCTCAAAGGAATGCTCACTGGGGCATTTTGGGTTTCAGATTTTTGGATTAGGGATACTCAGCCAGTAAGAGTAATGCAAAAATATTCCAAGATCAGAAAAAAATCCAAAATCCAAAACATTCTGGTCCCAAACATTTCAGATAAATGATACTCAACCTGTATTAATTTCAGGGGAAACAAAGTTGTATAATAAAGGAAATGTGACATAGGAAATGTAAAAATGTAATCAGGTGGTTTAGCACGGAACAATGTTGACATAGTCATTATAAGGAAACTCTTGATTTAACAAGAATTGCGATATTTTGGGGGAATCAGGGGTAGAGGAAATATGTGTATATGTGTCGGGGTGGGTGAAAGATGAGTCACCTTCAAAAAGCAGAAAAAGTCAATAGATAATGTCTCAGATATCAGTGTCTGTTGTATTTTCTTTATTCTGTTTTTTAAAAGAAATTTTGGCAAGTAGACATGTGTAAAAAAGGCTAATGACATGTAATCACATCACTGAGAAAAATGATCAGTGTTACATTTTCGTATATATCCTCCCATATGGGTATATATGTATATATAAGTATATATGTTCATACATATGAAAGTACACAACACTCATGTGTGTATGTACTATTATTATTATTATTTTTTTCCCTTTTTGTCTCTTTTTTTGTGACCGGCAACGGGATCGCAACCCTCGGTGTTGCCCCCGCACCTCGCTCAGCCAGTGAGCGGCCGGTCTGTATGTGGGATCCGAACCCTTGGCGGGAGCGCCGCCGCGCTTCCCAAGC